TTAATTAAAAAATAAAAATATTTAATTAAATTAAATATATTTCTTTATATTTTTATATGACCTTATTTAATTAATTTAATTTTATTTATTTATATCTATATATCTAAAATATTTATAAATAAATGTTTCTAGAACATTAAAAACAACTTTGTAAAATGTATTTCAATTGATTATTTTAAGCTAAAATAAGTTTTTCTGCTCAGCTTTAAAAGAGAATTTCTGATTGGCTATAAAATTCATTATTTAGTAAATTAAGCTTTAAAAAATAAACAAATTAGAAGAAACTTTTTTTATAATTCAACTTTTTCCATAAATCAAAATTCTTATGCAATTGTCCCACTGTAGCCAGCTGGTAGAGCTTAGGCATAGGCATAGGCATAGTCATAGACGTAGATGTAGATAGAGCTCCAAAAAAGCTTGTTGTCTGGCAGCTGGGGGAATTGGGATTGGCTGGGTTTTGGCTTACGGCTTTCGGGGTTCAAGCCTCGAAGCGCAGTTTTTGGGGGCACAGCAGGAGTAGAAGGATGAGGCGAAGGTAGGGATGGGGGTGGGCAGGCATGTTGTGGAACAATTTGTAGCACATGTAGCGCGGCGTTTTGGCAACAAGCGATGCAACCTGAAAGGCAGCCACAAATTTTTTGGAGGCTCTATTAAGCGTTGCCAACCTTATCCAAAAAACACACCCCCAGCCCCCCTAGAAGCCCCCACTTTTGTAAGAAAACTTTAGCATGCGAATGTGTTTATGTGTGCGTGGATTTTTGAAATGAATATGCATGGGCGGGGCTGGAGTGGGGGCGGGGCTGGGCGGGCAAGGGCTAGAGAGCAGCGCACGGGCCGGAAAAACTCTTGGCAAAAGTAAATTTAAAAGTTTTTCACTCCTGCTCCTTGCCTATCATCTTCGTCCTCCTCTCGGTCTTCGGCCCCGTCTTCTTGTCCGCTTCAAAGATATGAGTAGCGCGCACTTTTGGACAAGTTTTCTAGTTTTTCGGGCACGTGAAGCACGTGAATGGCAAGAGATTCGCTCGCAATACCAGAAAATGTGCGATAATTCACATAAGCAGTCTTATCATGTGTGTGTGTGGGTGTGTTAGTGTGTGTGTGTGTATGTGGGTTTCCTGCGGAAAGGAAAGGCACCTCCTAAGCATTTAGGCATGCAAAGTTTTCACTAGCGCACGTTCCACTCGAAAGCAATTAGCACACCCAACGAGAAAAGTTCGTAGACCTGGGCAAATCCCTTAATACGATCTCCCCTGAGATGCATAATCATTAAGTAGAGTAATAGAAAATCGTATTATCTTTGGCTTAACAAATACACATACATTATTTATTGAAGGACTTTAAAACTTTAAGTTCTGGGGTTATCGATGGGTTGAACTATTTGAGTAACTATTTATTTAAATATCATAATAATTTAAACTCTATGTAAACTATATTATATATTTTGAATAATTTTATAGATGACTAAAATATTAAATAATTGGAATTTAATTAAAAGTAATGGAAGATTCTTTGAACAATCGTAAAGCTATTTGTAGTTGCCGTTAAAATATTGCCAAATATTGAGTTAAATTATATATTTAACTGTTTAGGATTGAGGTAATACTAAGTCATATAAAAACAATAATTTTTTAAGCTTAAAGTTTGTTATTTAATCATTAGGAAAGAGTGACTTGACGGTGCTATTATTTGTTTCGCAACAGTTCCTATTGTATTTTCAGTATTTTTGAAGGTATTTTAAAAATACTTATTATATAACGGAAGCAGATAGACTTAACCTCACTTATTGGCATATCTTATATCTAATATCTAATATCTAATATCTAATATCTAATATCTAATATCTAATATCTAATATCTAATATCTAATATCTAATATCTAATATCTAATATCTAATATCTAATATCTAATATCTAATATCTAATATCTAATATCTAATATCTAATATCTAATATCTAATATCTAATATCTAATATCTAATATCTAATATCTAATATCTAATATCTAATATCTAATATCTAATATCTAATATCTAATATCTAATATCTAATATCTAATATCTAATATCTAATATCTAATATCTAATATCTAATATCTAATATCTAATATCTAATATCTAATATCTAATATCTAATATCTAATATCATAATATCTAATATCTAATATCTAATAATCTAATTCTAATATCTAATATCTAAATATCTAATATCTAATTCTAATATCTATATCTATATCTAAATCTAATATCTAATATCTTAATATCTAATATCTAATATTAATATCTAATATCTAATATCTAATATCTAATATCTAATATCTATATCTAATATCTAATATCTAATATCTAATATCTAATATCTAATATCTAATATCTATATCTAATATCTAATATCTAATATCTAATATCTAATATCTAATATCTAATATCTAATATCTAATATCTAATATCTAATATCTAATATCTATATCTAATCTCTATATCGAATATCTAATATCTAATATCTAGATATCTAATATCTAATATCTAATATCTAATATCTAAATATCTAATATCTAATATCTAATATCTATATCTAATATCTAATATCTAATATCTAATATCTAATATCTAATATCTAATATCTAATATCTAATATCTAATATCTAATATCTAATATCTAATATCTAATATCTAATATCTAATATCTAATATCTAATATCTAATATCTAATATCTAATATCTAATATCTAATATCTAATATCTAATATCTAATATCTAATATCTAATATCTAATATCTAATATCTAATATCTAATATCTAATATCTAATATCTAATATCTAATATCTAATATCTAATATCTAATATCTAATATCTAATATCTAATATCTAATATCTAATATCTTAGATAATGTCCTTTGGCATCCTCAGAAATCTCATCTCAATCCTAATTCCTTCCATTTTGCTTTACATCCTGATGAACCTTGGCACTTACTAACATTTTCTCATGCACGCATCCAAAAACCATTTAAATAACGCTCCATCATCTCGCACACCCACACACACACGCACACACACACACACACGCACACACTCTTACTTATTCGAGAGAAACTTTTACACGGCAGCCGACGCTCTAGGAAATTCGCGCCCCTTTGCCCCGCCCAGTTGCCTCTGGCTGCTGGCAATGGGCTGCTGTAGTGTTTCGTGGAGCTCGCGTCGCCTTGCCACGCCCACGCCTGCTTTTATATGGGGGCTGGGGAACGTTGATAAATGCACAGAGCGTAAAAGTTGGAGCAAACTACTTTTGGGTTTTTAGGCAAATTTTCGCATAGAACTAAAAACGTTGCCAACTACTTTCCACTTACCTGACACTGTGCCACGCCCACCCGCCCCCGCATCCAAATCGCTGCAGCCATTAGAGGCTGACGGAAAAAGCGGCGCTAAATGCGCTCTGAATTATTTAAGGCACGTGTGTTGCGCAGAATGCGGCAAATTCGACAGTGAAATGCATTTATTATTGAAGATGCGAGTGGAGCAGCCACCACGCCCACCGGCTCCCCTTTCTCCACTGGAAGGCAGTCCTTCGGCTGACAAGCCAACCAATTATGTGCGCCTGATGAGTGCCCCAATGGAGAGCAGTCGACGTAGATCGGGGTTTATATTTTGATAAACGCTTTAGAGTTTGAAAAGTTTTGCTGCTGTGTGGCACGTGATTGGAATTACGCGTGGGGCATGCCCCCCACACACACACGCAGCCTGCCTCAAAAACCTCAATCTCAACGCCCCTTCGTCTGCCCCTGTGCAACATAAGTGGAAATTTTACACGACTTCTATGTGACAGGTGAGCTCCGAACTGGGCAGGTGTGAGGCGGCGTGTGCGAGCCAAAAGATGTTTCTGATTTTGTGGCAACTGACAAATGTTGCACACATTGTGCCAAATTAGCATATATATGTACATATATATATAAATTTACATTCCTTGAGATGCCTGCAAGTTATTCCCAAGCGAGCTTCATAGATGTATCTGAGAATGTGCTTGAGATACTCCAATCAGTTCAAGTTGAAGTCATGCGTCTGAATATGTAACTCCAGAAGTGCCAAAATATTTATAGATATAAAACTAACGGCATATATTGATACTTGAAATTAGGCGTACTCTTGTGTGCCACGCCCAGCGTGGGTTTATCTCAGCAGAACTTCATGCCATGTCTAGAACGACTCAGCTCTTCGATCTCATCGAGATTATATATATTACTCAACTGTTGCAGACATCTTCTCAAAAACATTATACCCATTGAAAGTGCAAATACAGGGCATTTATCGATTTCATTAGGTTTTCATATGACTCAAATGTAAATGTCAATCAGAGGAAGTTCCTCAATTTTATATATTCTATATATTTGCTCCATTAAAAAAAGTAGCTCTTTCATTTATATATTCCAGATAGTTCCAGATATATACTATTGTCATTTCAGCAGAATCTAGAACAGTTTTAAATATTTTTCTTTTTCCATTTCAGATTTGCCTAGATCTTCCGATGGCAAATAAAATTGTTTATACTCTGCTCTCATTGAAAATCGGAAATCAAGGTATAATTGTAATAATTATTATTATTATATATTGGATATATTCCTGTAAATATATATACTATACTGTGTGAATACATATATTGTCTATATGTGTATATAAATTCTAATGATGCCTCACTTATATGCATAACTTTTAAATTACCAAGTATTATCCCTCCATAACGTTGTATATAACATATATTATATATATCACATATAACATCTATTATATATCCCACATACATACGTTTCTCCACAATAATTTACGTATTCTGGAACATCCCACGCTTTCTCTTCTTTTATGTGATGTTTTTATTTGATTGCAAAGTGAAAAATTGGAAATACAAATTGGATTGTAATGTTGTTGGTTTTACATCTGGCGATATATATATATATATATATATATATATACATATATACATATGTATATACATTGTATATTATAAACTGTCTCTCTCTCTCTCGTCCTATCTCGCTCTTGCTGTTCTCAGTCTTGCTTTAGTTGGCCGCCGGCTCGCCATTGCCCTGCACATGTAGAATCATTTCGAAGGGATCCCACTCCAGATCGGATTCGTGTTTGACACGTCGTCGTCCAGCCACAGGCGCCTGATGATGCAGATGCAGATGCGGATGATGATTATTATGCTGAAGATGTAGATGCTGCGGATGCATTAGATGCGCGCCATGTTGCGCCAGTTGCTGCTGCACCTGGCCAATGGGCAAGTCCTGCGAGTGCTCGGCCAGACCAGGCGGGCGATAGAGCTGCAGTGGATGCGCCTGCGGCTGGCCATGGCCAATGGCAAGGGAATGGGGCTGGTGCTGTTGCTGCTGCTGCTCGCTCACCATCTCCTGGATGTGCTCGCGCGTCTGCTCGCGTTCGTCCACCTTCCTCAGCAGCATGTCCCGCATGAAGGACATGCGCTCGAAATGCTCCCAATTCGACCGGAATCCCTGCTGTGCATACTGCGCATGTCGCTCCTTCTGCAGCTCATCCACATAGCGCTGCTTGATGATCGACCAGCGCGTCTGCATGAGAGCTGCAAAGCGATTATAAACTGTAGTAGTTCCCAGGAGCTTATCGCTGTTGGATCTATATATTATTCATAGCTATTTAACTATTAAAAATTATATGCAAAGCCCTAATAGTTCAGAGACTAGGTTATATCTTCATGTTATTCCCCTGGTCTTGAATCTGAACAATCTAAAAGTTTATTAATCCAAATACTTTTGATTCCTAATAACTTTATAGTTTATTTTATATTAGTTTAAACATTCCATTAAGCTTCATTGTAAAATCTATCTGCATTGTAAGCTTTGTCTTCATATATATGTTCCGAAACTAAATTCTGATAGATAGATCAGTTTGATTGGCGTATATTTATTCAAAGAAAGTACGTTTTGAGTCCCAATCATTTCTTTTAATGCCTTATCTTAACATAGAGTTATATTTATATCTGTCTTCATTGTAATTGGTATCTTCATTGCATCCAAAGTATAACTGCTCAGAGTCAAAGTCGAGCTCAAATGCTGATCTCTCTCTCTCTCTCTCTCTCTCTCTTGGGTTCAAGTTAGCTCACTTCTAATACCCATTCATCTGCATGAGGGTCAATTTTTAAATAGATCTTGCTAGTACATAATTTAGGAATTGAAATCAAAATGGTTCCCAAATAATGATGAAATAATGTACTTTAAATATGATCAATCTATATTATAATATTTGATCAATTCATAAGCCTAACAGAGCAGTTTCATGGCAAGTCAATCTGCATGTCAACATCATGGTAATATATCCCTTCCTCCGTTTAATTTATCTCACAAAATGGTAATATGTAGTTGGGACTTACTCGGCGTTAGGCCCATCTCGTTGGCCGCTTCCTTCCAGACGGCGGAGGTGCGGCTTTGGCCCTGGCCTTTCTCGCTACGCTGGCGTCCCGCCCACAGGGAGGGGCGCGCCTTAATGGCATCGATGATGCGACCGCGCATGCTGTTGTGCAACGAACTGGGCCGGCCCAGTTTGCGCATGGGCGTGGTCGTTGCCTCCACGGTGACAGCAGCCGGCGGCACTAATCCTGTGAAGGCGGTGTAGGTCATGCCATGCGCTGCCGGCTGCTCAATGAGATGAGGTAGCTCAGTGGGTGCAGAGATGGCGGCTGCGGCAGCGGATTGCTGTACAATTGGTGGCGACACTGCGGCTGTGGACTGCAGCCAGCTGAAGCTGCCGCTGGGACGCCCGCGTCCATGAGTAGCACTTGGTAAAGGAGGCGGTGGCAGTGCAGGAGGTGAGCCGCCCACCGGGTGAGCTGGCTCGCTTGGAGAACTCGCTTCAGAGTTGCTCGAGTTGGACTGAGCGCCAACGATCTTTGCGACCGTTATGTTGTACATAAACGACATGGGTTCGAAGTGTTCCCACTTGGTATTGAAGCGCTCCTTGTGCAGGATCTGCCGATGCACCAAATTGTGATAGTGATACTTCATTTGACTCCAAATCGATTGTAGTTTGACTGGGTGAAGAGAATAAGAGACACAGAAAACTTTATGAGAGATCATGGATTATAAGCATTTTTAGTATTCGTGAGAATCGCGAAGAGAGGTCGTGTTGAAAGAGGGAGAGCGAGGGAGTTTAATGTGTCAGCTATTACAGTGTATTCCATATGTCGAATATATATGTAATCAGATTTTTATATGTCAGTCTAGATTTGATATATAGAATTCTGTAGTCTATAAAGCCAAGAGGCCTATGCACTCCCTTACCGACAATAATCATGTCACTTCATGCCCAATTATACATAGAGCTGCAAATTGATCATTTATAACTCATTCTACATGCTCTACAAATTAGTTAATGTACCCTAAATACATATGTAATTGTGCTATCAATCCCTTTTCCAATTGAGCATTTTACAACCTATGACAAACAGTGCATGCATCTATTTATAGCTTACACACAGAAGAAGAGAAAGGCCAACAACAATTGGGGGAGAGCGACAGAGCAAGAGAGCAAGAGAGAGCAGTAATAAGCGAAACGCAAAACAAAAACAATTTGACGCCGGCTGCCAGGCTAAGCTTCGAACCCAGTAGAAACTTGGCCAATGTTTTTGTTATTGCTATAAGTACACGCAGTCATACGCACACACATATGTGTACACTGTATGGCTATCTCAGTCACACTCACCTGTAGGCACATGACCGCCGAACTGTTCGGCGATCTCGTTCCACATGGGCGATGTGACGCTGCGGCACAAGTGAAGCTTGTTGTTGGAGTCCCAAATTTCTGGATACTTCTTGATGGCCTTCAGCAGCTGAGCGCGATTCACGAACGGATCCTCCTTTGGCATGACGACAGGATATGGTTATAGAGGAGGAAGGGCGACAAAGGCGAAGGCGGTGGCGGCGGTGGCGTTGGCGTTGGCGGCGGCGGCGACAACAGCGGACGCGGAGCACAACTGCGTCCTTTGACATCAATTATCGGCGAATAACTGAAAGTAGAGTTTGCAAAATATGCGAATTGAAAATGAAAAGGCAAAGCGATTGAGGAAAATAGAGAAAACGATGACGACGTCGGGGCAACGACGACGCCAGCGACAGCAACAGCGACGACGGCGACGACGACGACGGCGGCGATTGTTGCTGTAGTTGTTGCCTTTGTTGTTGGGGCGCAGCGATGCCGAGAGATTGAAAAGCAATGTGGCAGAGGCAAAAGCAGCGCAAAAACGGCGAAAGCGCACACGAGATGAGATACACAAAATGCAAGCGAAAAGAGAGAACAGACAGAATGTGCAAAAAAAAGCAGCAACAGTTCGGCAATAGCAACGACAACGATGTACACCGTTGCTGTGTAAGTGTGTGTGTGTGTGTCGGCTATACGTAGGTGCTGCCGATAGAGGTAACGGTAGAGGTAGGGGGCGGGAGAGTTTGGTGCGCTGTGGCACAGCCATACATAAGACGACGCAACGACCAAAGCGCACACAACAAAACAGACAAAGGCAATGAAGACCAAAGAGACAAAGCAACAGCAGCAGCGAACCTTATGGCAGAGGCAGAGCTGCAAAAAAAAGTAAAAACAACAAAAGCAAAGTGAACGAAAAGAAAATAGCAGACAAAAAAGAAAGGCAACGATAAACAACAGCGACGCCGAAGTCGACGCCAACGTTTGGGGCTCACTTGCATGGCCTGTGTAGGTATATGTGTGTGTCTTGTTGGGTTTGCCACAGACTCGTCGCGCAGTTGAAGGTGGCCACGGCGTCGGCTTGAAGTCGGGCCGCATTAGACGCAAAGGCAAAACTCGTGCTGCGCTCTCAACGCGAATGCGAAACAAAAGAGCAGCGCCAAACGGCGTTGAGTGCTGAGCAAAATGCAGGCACACACAAACAGAGCAAAATGCACGATGACCGATGCGACAGAAGCAGCAAACAGCGACAGCAACAGCGAAGCTAAAGCACAGGCCGTAGACGCAGACGCAGCTAAGCAGAGCGGCCCGGTCAGGCTGTCTAAACAGCAACAACTATGTACCTAGCTGCATATGTATACGCATACACACACACACTCACGCACACGCACACAAATAAACGCCTAGTTACTGACGAATGGGCGTTCGTATGGTCGGTCCGACGTTCGGTCGATCTGTCGACCAGTTGGTCGCTTTTGGGGGCTACGTGCAATGAACCCATTTCACAGCCACTACACAACTACAACTACAACTGCAACTGCACACAATTAACACACACGCATACTGGCGAGCTCAGTTGTGTTTGTATTAGTGCATAGCGCACCCACAGCGTTCGTTTTTGCCAACGCACAACAACAAAAGCTAGGCGAGAAATCGTCCCAAAAGCTTGAGCATTTCATTAGGGTGCTTCACTGCAAAGTAGGGTGCTTCAATTGAGAAATGTAAGAATAATATGCAAAATGATATACTTGAATAATTAAATTTATATAAGAAACTTAATATTTTCCATATTTATATTGTAGTTCTAAATGTGACTTGACCAAGCCCACTATAGATGCTTATAAAAACTGAATGGCGTCACAGCTATTTCCTACTGGGCATTTGTATTCCTTCACACAAGCTGTAAAAATGGGTATCAAATATATCTAATGAAAGACTTCCTTTCATACGTGATTGGTTGCCGTTGCTGGGAATAATTTAGACATGAATTGGACCTTAGCCGGCGTGGGTCACATCTGAGATCAGGGCTGGCTTATCATAAGAACAGCAGCGCACAGCATTTTCATCAATTATTCAAGGCCACGACACTGGACCAACTGATTCCGATTCGAATGAAATGCGAACGATAACGTTCCATTCAATTCCATGCCGTTCTCTTAGCCTCTTGGCCCCCCGCTCATGGCACTCTGCATTTCTAATGCCGTTGTTAATGCTTTTAATGTTTGTCGTTTTATTGGCTACTGTTTTTGCTGCGCGTATCTGCGAGATACATCGTCGGGGTATCTGCGAGATACATGTGTGCGCACACGCACTTATCTGGAAGCGGTGTCTTTAATTTTTATGACTGCATAAATGGTCCTGAGCGGCTCCCGACCCACGGCCCAGAGCTCGGCGTAATTTGCTAGATTAGAATTAATTTCGAGGCGCAGGCACAAGCGATTCTCATAGACCCCAAAAAAACTTTCGGGGAGGGCAGTAAAAAAAAGACACGTAATGTTTATGCGGCTGGACACTGGGCGGGGAAGAGCGCGGAGGCGTGGCTGTCGTATAGATAGACAGACAGACAGGCAGGCACACAGGCTCCACATCAATTGTCGTTCTGAAGATGGGCTTGAAACCGGGCACGGAGCTGGGCTGGGCTGGTGGGAGCTGGGCTCTATCTGCCTCGCTATCTGCTATCTGCTGTGGTGTGGGGCCTTTGTTGGGGGTTTCTTTTCTGTTTTATTTTCATTTATGCTTTTTAAGTGCTTCATTAAAATCGCGTATGGCCACGGCTCGGGGTCGCTGTCGGGGTCTGTGCCTGATGCCTGCCATCTGTGGCTGGGGCGGACAGACCTTTGTCAGCGTCATCAAGCACGGCACACACAACAACAAAAAAGCATACGAAATACGAAAAGTATCTTTCAGATACATGTCCAAAGCGCAAAGAAAGCAAAGCATAAAAAACGCACGACGACGTACGAAAAAAAAACACATATAAATAAACAAGTATAAGCAGTTGGCCACGCCAGGTAAACGCCTAAAAGATACCACGTAGAAAATATATGAACATGTAGATAAAAGTAAAAGAAAAAGAAAATTATTTAAGAATTTATTGCAAGTTTTTGCAGACCCCGGAACCGAGTTGGAGCTTAGCCAGCCTCGGAGTTATTTCTAATAAATAAGATATTTATGCCGTCGTGCGCATACCCTTTCAATGGCCTCTATTCCCGTGGGCTTACAGGGTATAAAGAGATACAAGAAGTAAAAAGAATTATAACCAAACATGTTTTTCACTCAGCTCTCGTTGCTCCGGTGTCAGGCCCCAACTCCAGGCGCAAAGTCCCAGCTCCAACTCCGGTTTTTCGACTATATATATACGGGTGTGTGTGTGTGTGCGTGGCAATAAGTGTGCCCCGCTCATGCGACGGTGCAAAAAGTTAAGTATCTTGTTGTTGTTGTTGTTGCTTTTTATTATTTTTTTTTCAAGGTGCGCATATAAAGAGGCCTTCTTAACGGCCAGACCCAGAGCCCAAGTTTGAGCTGTCTCCCTTCTCCCGGCATCTTTTCCCGCCCCAATGCTTCGCTGCGTCCAGTTTGAGGCAACGTCTAAAGATAACACCAGCAACAACAATGATGGCTTGCAGCATCCAAAAGCCACTTGGCCAGCTCCTTTTCAGCCTCTGCCTCAGCCTCATCGCCAGCCTCAACCTTAGTCCCAGCTTTTGGCTCAGCCTAAGTCTCTGTCTCAGCTTCTTCTTCTGCCTCATGCGCTTAGCCTCATCTCTATGCTCCGCCTCAGCCCCAGCCCCAACCCCAGGCTCAGCTTCAGCCTCATCTTCTACCTTTTGCTCAGTCTCATCTCCTACCGCCAAGCTCTGCCCCGGGTTCAGCTTCAACATCAGCCTCAACCTCATCCGCGGTCCCAGCTCCAGCCCCAGCCTCATCCTCAGCGTCATCCTCATCCTCATGCTCCTCGTATGCCATGTGCAAATCACATACAGTAGCAAAAAATTTCGACAGTTATTTACGATTAGCACAAAAGATACGAGACATGACATGCGCTGAGATGCCGCGAAGATGCAGATGCAGATGCTGTTGCAAACCCAACTTCAGCAAAGTGAAAGAGAGAGGAGTAAGAGAGTGGGGGTAGAGCAGAGGCTCAACATGAAACCAGGTCTGTTACCCACTGGCTACTGTTGCCTGCCAGCCAAGCACAGCGGGCGACAAGGGTTTCCTCTTCTGCCCCTGCTCCCTCTCAAGCTCCTTCTTCATTTCCAGCTCCATGTTCAGATCCAGATCCGAGCTGCGGCCAGACAGCGAGAGAGTTTTAGTTTTACTGTTTGTTTACCTTCGTTTTGCAGTTCTCGAGAATGGAGACAGAACTTCATTTATGAGCTTCGCTTGATGATCAATTAAATGCTTCTGACACTCTTGAAAAAGCAATCGTGGGCTCCTTGCGGATTCAGATTAAACAAAGGCAAAGGACTACTGGAGTATACTCTATATTCTAGGAGAGAGGGTATATAATATTAAGCTGTTAAAAGACAAAAGTAGTTTGAGTTTAACAAATATCAGTTTATGTATTTTTCGCTCTATCTTTACTCATTCACTTATTCTGAGAGCTTCTTGCAGTTTGTATCTTCGGTTTTCACTCTATGTCTAACAGAAGCTCTATCGCTTTCTGCTTGTCTTTCTCTCTATCTCTCTCTCTCCCTTCTTCTCTAGCTTTTAATCTATTTTAATCTCTTCCTCTCTTTGATTTCTCTCTCTCACCCTTTACCTCCTTTTCTGACTTTTTCTCTTTCTCTCTATCTGTGTTTTCCTTGAATTCGTAATTCCTCTCTCTAATTCCTATATCCTATCATTTCGCTCCTTTTGCTTATCTATTTGTTTTCTACTTTACTCGTTTCTCATATTCTGCCTTTGCTTTCTCTCCCAGCTGCCGAAATCTCTGAAGCTTCGCCCCTCTCATACCCTGTACTGCGAATGAAATACGATATTATTAAGAGAGAGAGAGAATGATGATGGAAATGGCATGCGTATGGGTCGCCAGAAGGTAGATATATACTTATGGAGTCGTATAAACGTATAAACTATATGTGGACAATGACATAAACGAGGTTATTCCGGATTGCGACCAATTTCTGAGGCCGTAAGCACAATTTATGGGACTCGGAGGCCTGTTGCATAAATTAGCTGCGATAATAAGTGCCTCGCTGCGCTCGTGTGCATTTGCCACATCTTGTGGCAAACTTGGCAATAGAAGAACTCTTGCCAGCAACAACAACAAATTTATCGACTCGTGCGTCCTGTTGCGTGCAATGCAATTTAAATGCGACCGAAGGGGCGGGGCCATAGCCGCCTCCCGGCGCAGCATTCGCGTGCGTTTTAATGCACTTTATCATTTTCCTGCACTTTGTTTTATTATTTATATTTACTATAATTCTCTGCAGTTCATTTGCACTGTGACTGTAATGGAAGACGAGATACTACGTAACACTTTTTTTGCAGGTAAAAAAAATTAATACAAATACAAAGAATACCTGATTTTACCTTAAGATAGTTCAACTCCCAACATATTCTATCATCAGCATTATATATCTCATTCGTTTACAGGGTATAATACATATGAGAAACATAATATGAAGTATTCAAAATGGGAAAACGTAGTCTTAATTTTTCCTTTCATCTTATAAGCGACCATAGCCCACACCTTCTAATGAAAAATATTACAGGGTATAATCAGAGCTTCGAACATTATTTCTTGAAAATAATAAGTCTTTCTTCAGGTCCGTAAGTATTGAATTATATAAGTCAATGGTTAAACATGTATCCCATACCCATGCATTAAAGGGTATTATCTTAAGCCTAAGAATGTTCATACTTTCTTTATGTAATAAATTCGTTATTTTCCAAATTTCGCTGTCTCCCAATGATTGTATAGCTGGATCATATAATTTAACACAAATGGATATTACAGGGTATTTTCGCAACTGAAACTCACAGATTTATATTTTATTTCAGTATACTCTATATATTTTCTCTCTCTTTTTCTTCCTCCTTCCTCTCTCACTTTCTCTTTCCCTCTCTCTCTCTCTCTCTCTCTCTCTCTCTCTCTCTCTATGTCACATTGTATCTCTCTTTCTCTCTCTCATCTCCTTCATCATATGTTACAGGGTGTTTGCACAAAAATTATCCAACCTATAGCGCTTATATCAAGTTTTTACACATTATCGTCTTCACTTTCAGTATGAAATGCCTCGCTGTGCTTTCCCTTATACTACAGGGTATTTGTTACAGCAACAAAAATAAAATGAGAAAAATGGAAAAAAGAGCTGACTGGCAAACGAGGTGGGGCCTCGAGGGAATGGACTGCTAAGTGGAAGCGCAATAATTATAATTAAATGCATTTTTACGTGCCTTTTTCCCGTTTGGGCTTTTCTTTATGCAAATAAATAATTGCACACCTTTTGCAGCGTTTCGGGCTCGTAAAAACGCGTACCTACAATCAAGTACATTAAAGTCGTTGCATATTTAATATGCCATTAAATTTTACTTATAATCTTTGAACGTAGTATTCCATCAAAGCGTCAGCTGATATATGGAATGAGCTTAAGACCTAATTACCGACGTTTCCCTAAAGGGAAGACGAAATATATGCATAAGATTTTTATAGACTTCAATAAGTTATATGGCTTCAT